TATTAGACCTAAATTAAATTATAATAAAAAATTGAATTAAAGAAGTTACACAAAAAAAAAAAAAATGAGAACTATTAAATAGTTAATTTAATACTAAATATCGATTTTTTTTTAATTTTTATGCTATCTTTAAGTTTATATTTCATTCAAAAATAAAAACATTATCGCTTTCTCAAAACCACATGAAATCGTATTATATCGTTAGAGACAAATAATAAAAACTAAACATTAAAACGGAGATTTATATCTTGCTGCATTGCGCGACGCAAGTACCTTTCTAGTAATAATTAATATATACAAGATTATAATTAGAAAAGTGTAAAAAAAATGCTATTTCAAGTAGCGTTTAAATAAACTATCTTATGAGTTAGATTATAAGCTGCTTTTTATTCATCTAATGGGTTGTTTGGAAGCAGTTGAATGTTTTGGTGTAGAATGATTAATAGACTATTATGATAAAATACAAAATGAAATATAATTCTTTGCTAGTTGTTAAGAGTAAAATTAGAGTGTCAAATGGTTAAGGGAGACTCAATATTCAAAACCATTCAAAGGGTTTTAAAATCATTAAGAGACAAAAAAAAAATTTGTCACACAAGATTAACCTATTAGCGGTTCAAATATTGTCTTTTAATGAAACTATTAAGAGGTAAACAAACAATCCTTAAGTGAACCTTTTGAAATAAGCTCAAAAAATAAGTTAGTTTATTTTTTCTAAGCATAATCTAAATAAGTTATATCCTTTTAATTATAACTAGAAGGGTACTCACACAATGTAACGAGATACATTTTGATTTTAATGTTCCCTTTTTTTTTTTGTCTCGATCGATTTTATAATACGTTTTTATGTGGTTTTGAGAAAACGATAATGTTTTTATTTTTGAATAAAATATAAATATGAATATATCATAAAAATTTGGAAAAAATATATTGATATTAGTACCAAACTAACAGTTTAAATTTTTTCTCAATAGATTAACTTTAACTATTTTAATTGGTGTTGGATATGAAAATCATTTTAGGCTCCATATGGATGTACATATGACTAAACCCTAAACCCTAATCTATCAAGCTTTTTTGAGCAACCATTGAACTCTTTTCTAAGCAATAGTTAAACTCTATCCTGGATATATGTAAGTTAATGTCCCTACACTCTAAACTGAAGGCCATATACCCTTGTTATGAGTACAATCCCTATTTTAACGATGATCCTGTTGCAAACTTAAGTGTCGATACGAAGAAAGTATGAATGTCTCACAACCACATCTTTGAAGAACAAAATGCCAAAAATAAGAACAATAAATAGTTCGACGATTTTTCCTCCAATGTTTACAGAAATGGATATATTGGCTTCTGACAAGTAACATTCAACCTCATTTCTAGTGAGATTACTACCTATGAAGAAGTGACAAACAGCTGAAGGGTCCCGATTGCCTGTACAAATTGATCGAGAAGCAATTGTAAGGTAACTTATCAAAAAGATGACTGCCAAGTAACACCATGGGCGGTTGGCCTATTTACTCATGAACATGTATTCCACTTAAGGGAGTGACTAAATGGCAAACAACATAATGGTGGATATAAAATAACGATACAAGATTTTTATTTGCGAGGAAGAAATAATACAAGAATCCTATTCCAAATTATATGTCTCTTGAGGAATCGTACGGAGTCTGATATTGTTTCACGAGTTGGTTATTGCAACAACTAAGCACTACAAAAGTAAGAGGTCGTTTTTTAAAAGCTTGATGGATTTAATGGTATGGATAACTTATATACTGAGGCATATGTATTTGTTGTTTTGCGGCTTAATGATTAAGTCGTCAACTAATTTTGTTTAATTAGGGGAGCCCTCCCTCTATTGTCACTAATGTATTGAACAATGTTCTTTCCGACCATAATCTCCCCATTTCTTATTGTGTGTTAATACAATTTTGGATATTCAATGATTAAAACATTTATAGTGATTTTCTTTAATGTGATAGATTTCTCATATATATATATATATATATATATATATATATATAGGGTATATTTCTTTYAYAACCTTGTGCATTTGTACAACCTTTGCAACCCAATTAATTGAGATATTTATAGAAATGATTGGAGTTCATTTATTATGATTTGAATATTTATGGAATATGAATAAAATTTATTAATTATGATTAATACTTTATATTAGGAAATAATTAATTGATTAAAACTTGAATGATTGAGATGAGGGTTGTATAGGATGTAGGAATGGCAAAGGGTGTAGAATAACGTCCTTCTATATATATATATATATATACTATATTATAAAACATTTGATAAAAATTATTTTTATGTATGAAGTATTGTATATTGATGCATATTACTTAAAATTCAAGATTACAAGTAAATTATGTATAAGTACAGCTTATTAAATCTCCATATTTGAATTCGTGTAACTAAATATAGATAAACATAATCAAATAAAGGATAAATATCTCATTTTAAAATATAAAAATCTAAAATATAATTAAGATGATTATCGAGTTCTAACAAAATAATTGACTATTATCTTTATAAGAAAATTATATTACTAAACTAAATATAAATTACTTCCTTATTGAACTTAAACTAAATTATAATTAAAAAATTTGAATTTAAAAATTGCATAAAAATGAGGAATTTTAAATAGTTAATTTTATACTAATATCGATATAATTTTGTTAAATTTTTATGATATCTTCAAATTTATATTTTATTCAAAAATAAAAACATCATTGTTTTTTCAAAATCACATAAGACCATATTATAGCATCGATTGAGATAAAAAAATAAAATAAAATATTAAAATCAAGATGTATCTCGCTGCAATGCACGAGTACCCTTATAGTATATATATATATATATATATATATATATATATATATATATATATAAAGAAGAACCAAAAAGTTGTTCAATGAGAAGTTTTCTATCATATTTATCTTTTTTCTCATTATTTTAATTTATCTTTAATATACAATCAACACATTAATTGTTAACCATTTCATTTTCCTACTTTTTAACTCCATTTTCATTATTCTATAAAGGAAGTTTGAAGCCACACATAAAAATCTATATTTAATTTTATTTACATCAATACATGCATATTTTTAATTACATGACAATTGAAAAAATAAATCATCAAAATCACTCGATATATATATACATACATATATACCATGTTCGAACTCGTGTATTACATGGTGTATTTTACAAAATTAATTGAAAGCGTTATGCATTTTATAAAGAATTAATAATTAAATGACTCACAGACGTTCCCTCAGGGATACTTCTTTGTTCAGGATTCTCCCGTTCAGGATTTATAGACACATTCCTAACAGAACGTACAGGATGATACGTCATCTTATCTAACACTATTTACTACAACAATAAACATGTATACAATTAATCACATACCTAAATATAATAAGATGTTCAAATTAAAATAAGCACCTGTAAACTTATGATTACCTTGGCCTTATGTAATTTAAATCTACCGTACTTTTCGTCATTCTAGATCCAATTATATTTAACACATTCCCAGTCTCGAAATCCCAGTGGAACCTATTATCGAATGGTTAACACATCTAGTTTAAGTCTAAGTACCAGGAAAATACCTAAATCTCTTAAACCAGGGCTCTGATACTAACTGTAACAACTCCCATATAAACCACCATTCCAATCATACACTTAATAACATAATAAACGTATATACAACATAACACAAGTTCCACTACATATAATAGACCGGTCAAAACTATACACATAAACAATGAGTCTGATATCAAACAAAAGTTGATCTAACAGAATAAAAGTAAGTCAACTACCTATCACATTTTCCCCTTGCCTTTATTTTTTGCCCTGAGCTGACCTGGAAAAATAAATTTTACAACAACTGAGGGTTAAACCGAAAGGTCTAACGAGTGAATTCCCTAGTATAACATTTTACACACTCATAATAATAATAATAATAATAATAATAATAATAATAATAATAATAATAATAATAAATTCAATCTAGATATCAGTTGTTACAACTGTCCTGCCCTTTATCGCAGATAAACCTGCCAATGATCCCAGCTACCCCACCATTTATTGCAATATCCTGCCAACTATCGCGGCTAGTCCGCCATCTATTGCATGTATTCTAACAACTATCGCGGCTACCCCGCCATCTATCACAAGTATCTTGCCAACTATCGTGGTTGGCCCGTCATTTATCGCAGGCATCCTGTCAACTATCGCGACTGTTCCGCCATCTATCACGGTTACCCTGCCAACTATCACGGTTACCCTGCCAACTATCGCGGTTGCCCCGCCATCTATTGCGGTTACCCCACCAATTATATATGATGCATAAACATAATAATTAACATTTGGAATATCCACAAAGAACAATTG